GCATGGGGGCAGCCCCGGAGAACACATCGCATTCAAAATTTTCAGCTTGTGCATCGGAAACGTATGAGTTTGTGGAAAGCTTGTTTGAAGTCTTCGTTAGACATAGTATAGATGATGGGGTTGATGAGGGAGTTGAGATATCCAAGCCACGTGAAAAAGTCAAAGATGGCCATGTGGAACCAGCAAGCGTTCTTGCAAATAGGCAACACCAGGCTGATGATGAAAAAGGGCAGCCAACAGACGATGAAGGCTCCTAAAATAATCCCTAAAGTCTTTGTAGCTTTCCGCTCTCTAGCGGCCGTGAGCTTCTTTTTCTCCAGCAGGGCATCCGAGACCTTCACCTTCACCTGGTTCATGTACACGGGAGAGCCCGTTTCGCTGGATCCCTCGGGGGCCTTGGAGTTTATGGACGTGACGGAGGAGGACGACCCCGGGGAGTCTGTGATTAACTGAGCCCGTGTTAGTCTTTTACCTGCTTTCTTTGGCGTCTGCTTCAAAATCCGCGATCTGGCTTCCACGTAGATCCTCCCGTAGAGAGCTATCAGCAGCAGAGTGGGGAAGTAGAAGGCTCCCACAGTGGAGTACACGGTGTAGAGGACGTGGTCCGTGTTCACCACACAGTGAGAGACTTCCTCAGCCTTCGCCTGCCTCCAAAACAAAGGGGGCATGGAGATGCAGATGGAGAAGACCCATACCAGAGCGATCATGCCCGCTGCCCGCTTGGGAGTCCGTTTCGTGGAGTACTCGACGGCGTCGGTGATCGCCCAGTAGCGATCCAGGGCGATGACACAGAGGTGCAGGATGGACGCCGTGCAACAGGTGATGTCCGAGGACAGCCAGATATCGCAGACGATCTGGCCCAGCGTCCACTTGCCGGTCACAGTGTACATGGTGCTGATGGGCATGACGAGGATGGAGACAAGGAGGTCGGTGACGGCCAGAGAGGCGATGAGATAGTTGGCCGGCGTGTGGAGTTTCCTCGTCTGGTAGACCGTGGCGATGACAAAGGCGTTGGAGAGCACCGTGGCCAGGGTGACGAGCGCCAGGACGACGGCGAGCACGATCTTCCCGGAGAGGGGGGTGGCATCTTGGTAGATCCCTTCCTCGGCGGTGCAGTTTCGGCCGTGGTAAGAGTCGTTGGCGGGGAGCAGCGGAGCCTGGCAGGGGCCGGCCG